TAGATAGATGATAGATCGATAGGTAGATATAGATAGATAGACAGATAATAGATAGATAGATGATAGATAGATAGATAGATAGACAGATAGATAGATAGATTAGATAGGTAGATACATGATCGATAGATAAATAGATACATAGATAGATAGATGATAGATAGTTGATAGATAGATGATAGATAGATGATAGATAGATATGATAGATGGGTAGATACATGATCGATAGATAGATAGATACATAGATAGATAGATAGATGATAGATAGATAGATGATGGATAGATAATAGATAGTTGATAGATAGATAGATATAGATAGATAGATAGATAGATAGACAGATAATAGATAGATGATAGATAGTTGATAGAGATAGATAGATAATAGATATGCAGGATGTATTTTCATTGTGACAAATTGAACGTAATTAAAGCACAGTGATTAATCACAAAAACAATATGTAATTATAGATGTGTGTTCCGATGGTCTCAGGCGACCCCTGTGAAAGGGTCCGTTCGACCCCCAAAGGGGTGGCGGCCCACAGGTTGAGAACCGCTGCTCTAGGTTCTACTTTTTCCTTCCCCACAAGGGAAAAACGCATAATGTGGAATTTATGAAACTCACCTCATGCTCTTCCTCCTCGGAGCTCCATTTGATCCGAACATCAAATTTCCAGTTTACAATTTTTTTTGTCTGTCATGACTCCATGAAAATGAAATTAAGTGACTGCTGATTTTTCCCATGAAGCATAATAATAAAATCCAGAATGAACACTTTCAGAGTAGCTGAGCATAAAAGTGAGTTTTCTAGAAGAATAAATCGAACATTTCATACTCAGATATATCAGTAGGAGCGTGAAGATTCTTTCTTAAGTCACCGTTCCTTTGCCTGCATTTCTATTCATTGTAGTAATTCTGTCACATCCTTAAATACAAAGTGCTTCAAATTAGACAGTCGCTGCCGATGGAGAGGTTTTTTAAATAGATGGACAAATAGTTTTTGCATTTTTTTTTGTTTTGCTCCCGTGTAGAAGGGAACCCGGGGGCAGCTGCTGAGGGCCTGGCCTGCGAGGTTCATGACAAGGACGCCCTGACCTGCAGGTGGGCGGTGGGCCGGGCGGCCCCCAGCGATGTCCAGTATTATTTCTACTTGGAGGACACCAGGTAGGGCGGCCTTGGGCGGGGCCGGGGCCTTCTGGGCGGGGCTAGGATCTCCTGGGCGGGGCTGGGGTCTCCTGGGCGGGGCCACGGCCTCCTGGGATTGGCTAGGGTCTCCAGGGCGTGACTTGGGTCTCCTGGGGGTGGCTAGGGTCTCCTGGACGGAGCTAAGGTTTCCTGGGCGTGGCTTTGTCTCAAGGGCGTGGCTAGGGTCTTCTGGGCGTGGCTTAGGACTTCTGGGCGGGGCTAGAGACATCTGAGCATGGCTAGGGACTCCTGGGCGGGGCTAAGGACTTCTGGGCGTGGTTAAAGACTTCTGGGTGGGGCTAGGGTCTCCTGGGTGGGGCTAGAGACTTCTGGGCGGGGCTGATGGCTTCTGGGCAGGACTAGGGACATCTGGGCGGGGCTAATGGCTTCTGGGCGGGGCTAAGGACTTCTGGGCGGGGCTAAGGACTTCTGGACAGGGCTAAGGATTCTGGGCGGGGCTTAGGATTCTGGGCGGGGCTTAGGACTTCTGGGCAGGACTAG